GCTCGGCGGAAGGGGCCGGGCTCGAGGAGCCCACAGGCGGGCCCTGCAGACTCCAGGGACGCACGGGCTGCAGCCCGGAGCTGGGACTCTGCCCCTGGGCGGGAGCCAGCGCCATCGAAATGGGGGACAAAGACGCCGCCGGCGAGCCAGGGCTCTGGACGCGGAGCGCTTAGGGGGTCCGGGAGGGTGGGCGCGGGGCAGGCCCGGAAGGGGAATTACCTGCGCGGTGGCGGAGACGCCGGGCTGGTGGCCCGTGGCGAAGGCGGGCTCTGCCCCGCGGCCTGCCTGGGCTCACCTGTGGGGCTGGGCGATGGGGGTGGCCGCCGCTAGGGGTGTCCGGAATCCCCGCCGCCAGCGCGGGCCCTGCCCCGCCCCCCGCCCCCCCCCACTTCCCCGCGGGCCCAGCTGACTCACGCTGGCTGCCTAGGGCTGGGACTCTGGCGTCAGAACTCCGCTGGACACCCCGCGCTCAGCGAGCTTCCGCCGCCCAGAGGCTCCCTCCGCCCAGCGCCCAACTCTGTGAGCCCCAGCAGCCTCCCGTCCAGGGCTCACCAGTGTGATGAGCCATGCTCCCTCACAAACGTTTGAGGATCCCCCAACTACGTGCCAGAAACTGCCGGCGCCCTTGGGAGAGGGATGGGGAGCCCACGGGATTCAGCCTCTGGGGGACTCAGAATCCTTGGAGAGAGGAACTAGCAGTGCCCTCCTGTCAGACTCCGTGGTGAGGAGGGGGGGAGTTGGGGGGGGGAGGCATCTTAGAGGATCTGGACGGCTGGGACTACTGATGTTGCTAAGAGGGCATGCGCAGATAGTACAAACTCCAAGTTGGGCCCGAACAGTTACTGAGCATCTGCTAGGTTCCCGCTGTCCATTCTGACTCACAGTGACCCTATAGGACAGAATAGCACTGCCCCTGTGGGGTTCTTTATGGAGGCAAACAGCCTCATCTTTCTCCCTCCCAGTGGCTGGTGGTTTCGAACTGCTGAGTGTAAGTAGCAGCCCAAGAGACCACGCACCCCTGCAACAAAGTCCATACCCAATCATGGAGTGACCCCCTGTGTGTCTGGATAGCTCTGGACTTCTTCCAGGCCTCAGAGTTGACTTGAACCACCCACCTTGTGATTAGTTACCAAACAGCTTGCTTACCCAGCAGCACCACCAGGACTCCACTGCCACACTGCACCTTCCCCAAACCAAAAACAGTAACAGCTTTCTCCCTCAGAGAAAAGAAAGTGCATGTTCTCAGGACTACCTTCAGGGGCTCAAAGGTCTGGTGCAAAGAGAAGACGAGCCAGAGCTGTGTATCTCAATGTAAAAACCCAAACTCCCAGCCAGCGAGTGGATTCCAGCTCATAGCGACCCCGTAGGACAGAGGCAAACTGCCCCGGTGGGTTTCCAAGACTAGTTAGAGTCTTAACTCTTTATAGCAGTAGAAAGCTTCATCTTTCTCCTGCGGAGCGGCTGGTGGTTTTGAAATGCTATCCTTGCAGTTAGCATCCGTGCATATCACCCGCTACACCACAGTGCTGCCTACCTTAGTGTAACAAAAAACAAAACAAAACAAAAAAAAAACCCTCAGGCATCGAAGCCGCTGACTGAGTGCTCATGACCCCTTGGGGCTTGAGACACCCCACCCCCACCCCCACCCCCTCCCCTCCCTGCCACCGTCATGAACATCCGTAATGTGAGCCTGGAGGCCGGAGGCCGACGCCGTGATAACCACCACGCAACACTGCAACCTGTGGGAGAACTACCAGATAAAGCTGGACTTCTACCAAGGCCTCTCCTGGCCCCAGCTTTCTGACATCACGGAGGATGACAATGGGGAGATTGTTGGCTCCCTGCTGGCCAGAATGTAGGAGGAGCCAGATGACGTGCCCATTGCACACAGGACCTCGCTGGCTGTGAAGCACTTGCACGGTCGCCTTGGCCTGGCTCAGACGCTGATGGACCAGGCCTGCCGAGCTAGGATTGAGAACTTCAACATCATATATGAGGGCGTGTCTCTGCAGGTCAGGAAGAGTAACCCAGCAGTCCTGCACCTCCACTCCAAGCTCCTCAACTTCCAGATCAGTAAAGTGGAACCCAAGTACGACGCAGATGGGCCTGCGCCATGAAGCTGGACCTCACCCAGGTGGCAGACCAGCTGAGGTGGCAGCTGGAGCTGAAGGAGAAGGGCAGGCCTGTGGTGCTGGGGCCCATCGAGAACAAGAACAACTCACTGCTGAGTGCAGGCAAGGCCTCCCGAGAGGGGAGGAGGAGAGTGGTGGGGACAGCAAGGCTCTCAGTGAGGTCAGCAAGACTGCAGAAACCACAGATGTCAAGGACAGCTCAGAGGCCTCAGACTTCGCCTCCTAGAGCCTGACAGAGCTTGATCCCCACCGGGCTGCAGCCCTACTTCGCTCTATCCACTAGTCCCTGGCATTGGTGCCTAGGACTGGGGACTCATTACCATCAAGGTGATAACAACCAGATAAGACAGGGTGTGGTAATTACATAATCTGTTGTCAATTTGAGACTATTAAGAGTGAAGGGGTGGAGCTTAGCCTGTCAATCAGGTCGCAGCTTGATGACTTCATTTGGAGGCGCTAAGGAGATTAATAGCTCACTGGAGGTGGGACACACTCACTCATGTTGAGAAGACTCATAGAACTACACTAGAGCCCTGGAGCTGAAGGAGCCACATGGAGACCCCTGGCAGCATTGAGATGCTTCCACTGCCACTGGATCCACAAGACTTTCCACGCCTGTGATCTTCCTGCATTCGGCATCATTGCAAGTGTTGCATGAGTCTGAAGAGGAATTTACAGACTGGTACCGGACATATGGGCTAATATTGGACTTATGTACTTGATCTGGACTGAGCTGGGATGTTTTCTTAATGTGCAATTACTTTTTATATAAATCTCTTTCCTATACACATATGAGTGTCTATGAATTTGTTTCCCTAGTCTATCCAGACTAACACACAGCATAAAATTGCCCCTGTTGCTGTTTGTAACTCTATAAAAGTAGAAAGCCTGGTTCTTTCTCCTGAGATCTTAATGTAAAGAAAACAAAAATGCTCACAAGTAGGTAACGTCATGACAAATGGAACAACGTGAAGTTGTCGAGGATGTCGTCTCGCTTGGATCCATAATCAATGCTCATGGAAGCAGCAGTCAGGAGATCAAAGGACGTGTTGCAGTGGGCAAATCTGCTGCACAAGAAATACTTTTTTAAAGGGTGGAAGAGCAAGGAGGTCACTTTGAGACTCAAGTGCGCCTGACCCAAGCCGTGGAATCCTCCATGGCCTCATAGGCATGTGAAAGTTGGACGTGGCATAAGGAAGACTAAAGAATTGATGCTGGTGAAGAAGATTGGCAGTCCCATGGACTGCCAAAAGAACAATCAAATCTGTTTTGGGAGAAGTACAACCAGAATGCTCCTTAGAAGCAAGGATGGGGAGACTTCATAGCACATACGTTGGACATGTTATCGGGAGAGAGCAGGCCCTAGAAATGGACATTAGCTTGGTAAGGTAGAGGGGCAGTGAAAAAGAGAAAGCCCCTCCACAAGATGTATTGTCACGGTGGCTGCCTCAATGGGCTCAAACATCAGAACAATTGGGGGAAGGGCCCAGGACTGGGCAGTGTCTTTTTCTGGGGTACCTAGGGTCACTATGAGTCAGAACCGACTTGATGGCATCTAACGGCAATAATTTTTACTGAGCCAAGAGGGTGGCCCAATCCAATTGAGCCAGGGAGGAGCACTCCTATTGTGAACCAAGGAGTCCGAAGGGAGAGAGGTTTCGCTCCACTCCTGGTCATTGAGCATGTAGGTTTGGAGTTCAGGAGACCGTCCTAGGTAGAGGTCACAGGCTGAGAGGAATAGGTCGTGGAAACCAGGAGGGTGTTGAACTTAGGCAAGCAAACAGCGAGGGAAAGGTAAGAGAGCTGGGGCTGGCCAACAGAGGGTAAGGGGGTATTTGTTTAAAACCATTGACCAGTAAGTGTGGGGAACAGAAGGATTTCTCTTAAGTTGTCTCCCCAAAATATATGCCAGACTTAGCTTGAGAATAATTGTTCACTAGGCAGCGAAAATAGGTCAGAGGTTATTCTCCTTAACATCAGCCATCTATAGCGGCCAGACTGTATAGTCTGACTCACCCCAAATAGGGCCCATCCCTTTCTGTTATTGTTCCCTTGAAGCAGTGCCCAAAGGCAAGCCCGGGACCACTCTAAGATGACTAGGTCATCCCCCTCCTGTTGCTTATATTGCCTATGTTACAACCCCTCTCTGTGACGCAGGTTGTTATGAATTGTATTGCCCCTCTCTGTGATGCATGATGCTGTGATGTATCCCCCTAAAGTAATATGATGCTGATGGGACCACTCCTGCCGGCTGACGTTGAGGACAAAGTCCAGCGACAGATGACCCGACTTCAAAGAAGTCGGACTGTAGGAATTGGTTGCCGGAATCCGCTCACAAATTGTTTTGTTGTTGCCGCTATGATATTCTGGAGTATGTTTATGTTT